CCCCCCCCCCCCCCCCTTAAATGCAAGATGTTAAGACAGACATTCGCTTTTATGGAAACATTTACGCGACATCTTTTGAGGCTGCATTTTTTATGACTCCTTAGATTTCTGCTCTACGGCAAATGGAAGGGGTGCATGGGCTCTGATCTCATCCTATTTTTTCAAAGAGAAGCCCTGGAGACGAGATTGTGTCATTGTATCAAGAGTCGTAATGGCTCTTTTTTAACTTTGTTTTTAAACAAAGCAATACACATTTGGAAGCGTCAAAGACCCTAGAGCAGGTTCACTTGTGCGAGTTCGGATCGAGAAAATTGGCTCGACCGCCAAAATTTTTCCCGAGCTACCCTTATCGGGGCTACGAACTTACGTTACAAACCTACTGCCTCGTTATGTCACGTGACATTGATCCCAAGATGGCGGTCGGTTCAATACGTGGCCGTAGTCAAATGCTGTTTACACTTCTCTTTGTCTTGTGTCTTTCATCAATTCACGGCTTGGATTATGACAAGAGTTCTTCTCTGATTGAAGAAAAATGTGCTTACGGTGACTACGAGAACGTGAATGTTAAATTTGGTGGAAAATATTTCCTCTCCCAGTCAAATTGTGGTGCAGATTTACCGTTGAAGGATGTGAACGAGAAGCAGCCGCCGTCAGTAACTTTCACAGATGCAGTAAGTATTACATTTTATATATGATGATGATGATGAACTTTATTTAAGTGCCTGGTTTTCTAGCTAGCCTGATAAGACCTACAAATAGGGAACACTCATTAAAATACCACCAAACTAACGTAACTACTTAATATAAGGAGAATATTTACAAAGAATAAAATTGAAAATACTACCAACCTAACTACTTAATGTAAGAAGAATATTTGCAGAGAACAACCTGTACTGGTTTAAAAACGAAATAGCTATTTTACGATACGCGATTGGAAATGGATAGCAATGGTAAGGGTTTTAAGGTTATGTTCACGGTATACCTGATTGGCAGGTACAATACACAGGTTACAAGTCACAAGTACAGGTCACTGCTCTACTGATAAATGACTAAGATAGGCAGTTTCCCTTCAAGCTAAAACTTTATTTTGGATAGCCTCATATTAATCTGATCAATGACACAACACACGTAAATATAGTATGCTTCTTTCAAGATTATCATTGAGAAATGTTTTTGGTTAATACAGCAGTGAGGACTTTGAAGTCTCCAGTGCTTTCTTTGGTTAAAGAATAGCAATGTTAGTTCTTATTAACTTGTGAAGCTGACCTACTACTTTTAAACCAAAGAAATGAAACGCCAGAAAAGTTATGGTCCTGGCTCAGGTTGTTCAAACATTGGTCAGTGCTATCCACCAGATAAATCACTATCCGGTGGCTACATATATTGTAAGTGTTGCAAAAACCAATGGTGTTATCCTCTGGATAGTGATTTATCCAACTGGGTCCAAGAGCATATATTAAAATATCAAGTTTTGTGGGCAGATTGTGAAGAAGACAAGCCAATAGCCTTGGGGGAGATAAAAGGACAAGAAAAAAGATGTTGCCACTATTGCAACCCGAACCTAAGCATTTTAATGGACATTTTACACCCAGGATGGAAACGAGGCTGTGGATAAAACTTTATCATACATTTGATAAACATCCATATCATCAAATCTTCACTATCTGGATGTGTTGAGAATTTAGCCCTTTCCTGGAGAGATAGCCAGCCACAATTGCATGGGAAAGAAACATGATAATGTGGGTGATAAAACTGGATATAAAAAAGAAAGGCCAAGGAAATAAATGGATGGTTTGTCTTTTTTTGGTCTTCTCACTTTTTCAGTATATCTAGCCCTCCTAGCATGCAGGCTCTTTTGTAATGTGCAATCTGGGGTCAATTTAATAAAACTTTCACAAGTGTAATTTACAATTGTAGCTATTGTTTTTGGACCCTAAAACAATGGCTACACTTGTAATTAAATTGACCCCAGGTACTTTTTTTTGGAGGGGGGGGGAGGAAAAAAAGCTGTTACATTTACTTCTTGAGTTGTTTGGTGCACCCAAATTTTAAGCCTTTTCCTCTCATTTGCCTTGTCGATCTGGATTTTCTGGAACATTCAAGCGTTTTGACACAGTGTCTCGTAGATTTTGTTAGCACGTTGGTATTTTTTTTTGGGGGGGGGGGGGGAAGAACAGCTGATACATTTACTTCATGAGTTGTCTGCTGCTCACTAATATTAAGGCATCTGTCATCATTTGCCTTGTCGTGTCAGATTTTCAAGGAAATTCAAGCGGTTTGCAACAAAGGCTTGTGGCTTTTGACATGAAGAGATCAGGGCTGTCACTAAGATTTCAAGTTGCCTGGTATCAATCAATCAATCAATCAACACATTTATTTTGCAATGCTAACCACACACTAAAAAATGTAATTTCTTACCATTTGGAGACGTGGAAATGAATCAGTCAGAAATTAATATTCTGATGGCACGGCATGGAGGCATGCTGTTGTTCCTGGTATAATATTAGGCTATTTATGGTTTTAGGAGGCAACTTGTGCCATTCTACATCAGCTCAGTCCTTCTGATAATTTTTGTTTTGTTTTGCAAGTTTTCTTTTTCTATATTTTATTTTGTTACATCTTCAGATCTGTATGTTTTGGAATAATGTTTCTTATTTCGGTATATAGTTTATGAATTGAGGTATTTAGACCCACACCCTTTTCCATTAGTATAATTTTGGAGTAGTCTATGTAACATTGTAATGTATTTTCCTTGATCCCTTTCCCTGGGGTTTTACATGCCACTGCATTTGCAGGGGAATACATTCCCACACATTTTTTGGCCACTTCAGTGGTGGTTTTTTAGTGGTTTTTCATATCTGGTGTGGCACAAGTTCTAGCTTAGAACATATATTAGTATTTTGTTAGAAGGATATCATTGCTTTAACATCTGCATCAGATGACTGACTGACGCATCATAAATAAAGGTTTTTACATTGAATATCTCATGTTAGTGAAGTCCGAATAGCTGGTTTCCAGGTGGGGCGTAGGCAAACACGCATTACAATCAAATAGAAGCAGTATGGTGTTTACAAAAGTCACAAAATTTCAGAGAATAAGTAATTATGCTAGTTTTAAAGTATAATTATGTTGATGGGAGTTTTGAAGAGAAATGACTACAGGTTTATATATGTTAGTAGTTGGGGAACTGAACAGCCAGGTAGTTCTTTTGGTCTCATCTTTCTTTTATTTCCTAAGAAAATAACCAGGGGTCATGCTCATAGTAGCCGGGGGAAATTCCCGACCACCGCCCTTAATGACAGTCCTGAGAGATGAAGATCAAACCGTATCTAATTGCACCAGAAGTCCGATATGTTGCCTGTAACCATCCAAAGTATCTTTTGTTTTTCAACCAGTCAGACAAAAGTCCAGATTCTGGATTACAGGCAGACGATGTGTAAAGTGAATGTATCGGGCAGTCCCCTTCCACTTGTCTCCCAAACAAAAGGGAAGAAGGACTGCCTGATCACAGGTTAGCTCTTTTAACAATGGAAGAGCACAATCTGACAGAAGTGGGAAGATATATTTTTGTTTCCAAGAAAAAAGCCTGTAAATTGTTATAATGCTGGCTTTTTTCCCCAGAATTATGGATTGAACAAAATCTTTTCATGTTAAATTCTTTGAGATTGTGTTTTGCCATTCCGCAAAAGGCATGAGTTTTTCTCCCAACCCTTTACTTTTTTTGACATGAAAATATTATAAGAAAAAGGAAGCATAACAATGTTAATACAGTGAAACCTCTATTAAGCGGACACCTTCAGGACTGTCCCAAGTGTCTGCTTAATAGAGGGTGTCCCCTTAATAGAGGTTTGTAAGAATTGTGCAATGTTTGTTAACAGTTAACATTCAGTGGTTACTCTGTACTGTGATAAAATACCATGTTGTTAAGGAAGCTAAGGAAGCTGTGCTGTACTTTGGGCAAGACTTATAGGTGAACTTTGATCGCTGATGACAATTATACAGCAGGATATTGGTCTAATCTACAGTTTATTGACAGCTAAATGTATCGATTTATCAACTACAGTACATATTTTAAGGACGTAATACAAGGCTGGTGTCCTCTTAATAGAGGTTTTTAACTTTAGAAATTAGCCAAATACAAGTTATTTTAGTGTCCATGTCCACTTAATAGAGGTGTCTGCTTAACAGAGGTTTCACTGTAGTTCACATTTGTGTACTTTTTTTCTAGCCATGTTGTTTTATTTGAAACTACTGAAGTATGTTACCAAGTTAGGGAAGGTAGGATTGCCTCCTCCAAAAGTCCTGGCAAACTTACATTCTAGGTTTATTCTTTAAAGGTAAGGGGCAAAAAATACCTTGTTGCAATGGTGGATCCTGATGCACCTTATGCAGACAACCCAGGCTGTCAGAGCTGGCTTCATTGGATTGTTGTCAACATTGATGTAAGAGATATTACTACAAATTTTCCTTTCTTTGTGAATAATTTTTGTATTAGTCAAGATATTGTCTAAGTACCATCTCTTTGTATTTATTATTGTGTACTAATTGGTTCTGAGTAATATTCTTCAACGTATATTAGTGACCTACGGGTACAGGTAGGCAAAAATGTTTCCTTTGTTGTTTTGAATAATAAACCCTTTACCCTCAACCAGTTATGAGTCAATCAACCATGATTTCCTAGATGTGATAATGGCATCACCATTCTCTCCGATAGCTTGAATGTGATTTCCCCTGAGGGAGACTGTTTAAAACATATTTACAACTATTGTACCCGTACCCTCAAATGTAAACCGGCTCTATTATTTATTGATCTCCAAATTACAGCTGCCCGATCTTATAATAATAGTAGTAATAGTTTATTAACACTTCTGGCAGTTAAAAACTGACTAATTAGTGCAATTTACAATAGGATACTAATAATTAAGTCTATTTACAGTAATAAATATTACAATAACAATTGGAATCAAGAAAACTTAAAAAAGTAAACAAGTCATTTGCTCTCTTTGTCCTTTTCATTGTTGTAGTGGTTTTAGTATTTCCTGATCTTAACTGATATGGGATAGATCTTGTCTTAACTAATGCAGAGCTAAGAAAGATATGGGGTGGCTCTCATTCTTGATATCCACCATCAACTTCTTACATATTAATATCCTGCAATCTGTTAACGATGTCAAATTTGCTTAGTCTAGAGCTTGTTGATAACTAAAGTTTAGAAATATTATTCTTAAGGCTCTTTTTTGTATAGATACAATAGCATCAGAAAGGTATGCAGGAATATCTTGCCATACTTGCGCAGCATACACTAAGCTGGGCTTCTGATAATTCGCGGAAGAAAAACTCAAATTTCGCGGGATTTTTAGGGACAAATTCGCGGGAAAATCGGCCGATTTCGTGGGAGTTTTCGGGGCAAACTTCACCAAAAAGCAATCGGTAAAAAACCGCCGATTTTGTGGTTCTTTTCAAGGCAAATTTCGCTAGAAATCAATCGGTTTTGCGCTGATCAGACCAGCGTTTTTTAACGTTTTTCTAACAGAGGTCATCATTTGCACTTTCAACAACAATACGCTCCAGAAATGAAGCAATGGTAGAGCCTTTAATATCATGACTAGTGCCCAGTTTTTCACAACATAATCTACGCCTGGTAGTTTCGGGATGTTGTTCGCACGTTTCAGTGACGAAGTTCTAAGATAAATTTGCAAGTTTACGGCAAGTAACCGGAATTTCGCGGCTCCGCGACTGCGCAAAATATCAGAAGCCCTGTCTAAGACCGATCTGATATTATATGTGTATACCTTGAGCATGTCTTCTGGCATGACTCCTGCGCGCTTCAACAACCTAAGAGCGTACAATCTCTTAGCTGCCTTGGCAATTACATATTCAACGTGAGCGTTCCATTTAAGATCATTGCTAATTATAATTCCTAAAAGCCCTTCTTCTAGCCCCCTTTTGGTTATTTCAAGCATCCTGTACTCTTCTTTAACAGCATCTTCAATAAAACATTTGTCAATAAATTTTGAACATTGTTGTTTAAAAATTAGATTGTAGTAGTTAAAAAAAACAAGCAAGGTTAAGCATAAGGGCTGTTACTTAGAGAGGGGGGCTAGGGAATAACTCTCTATGAGGATGACCCTTGGTTACTTTCGTAGAAAATATTCCAAGATTTTCAATTCCCTGCAGCTGCATACTATCAAGCATTTGCCTAGAAAGTTGAAATGTTAGTGTCAAAATTTAATTAACTTTATTCTTGATGAAGTTTAATTTATGCTCCCTCCAAGAACTTAAACCAATCTTTGTCAGTTACAAAGCCCCACTTGCGGTTTGCCAATATATTTCCTTTTTCCAAAAGGGAGGTGTAAAAGCCAAAAATAGAAACTTACATCTGCGTTTGTAGGTTCCTGTGAGACTACAGTGGAAAACCTTGTTAGTGTTTTCCTTTCTTTTTTGAAAAAAAAAATGTAGGGCATTTTTTTTATTTGATATGGTTGGTGTGATTTTAATACAGGGTGAGGACCTGGCCAAAGGTGTTAACACATATTCTTCTGTGGACACTATTACAGGTTGGTCAATGTTCCACCAAAATTATTTTGCACAGTGATGATTTAAGATTGTTTTTAAGCACTAAGACAGAATCCATCAGGAAATTGAGTAATTTTAATTTTCAGTGGACAAAAACCTTGTTCCAGAATATTTTAAACAATATTACATTCTTTTAGCTCAATTGGGAGAAGGCTGATCTGCTGAGCGGAAGATTGCGGGTTCAAACCCCGCATGGACCGACACTCAGGGTCTTTAAAGAAAAGGGCTGCCTTTGTTATGACATCTGCAAATGGTTAGACTTTCTAGTCTTCTTGGATAAGGACGAAAAACCGTAGGTCCCGTCTCACAGCACTTTCACTGATTTGTTCTTGTGGGACATAAAAGAACCCACATCACTACTCGAAAAGAGTAGAGTTGTAGACCCCAGTGGTGTGGCCAACCTTTACAGGTTGTGGGATTGGGTAGGGATGGCATGCATGGGACCTGAGTCCCATTTGTGCACATTCCCTCTGGGCAGGCCTGTGTCCAGAAAAGCTGGTAAATGTCCTAAATAAATAAATAAATATCCTTTTTTACAGTTTTCAAGCCGGGGCAGTAGATGTAATTAGTTATCTGTAATAACACCAAAAAAAAAAATAAGAAAACAAATGTCAAATTTCACAAAATAACATCTTACACGTGAAATTTTCAGAATTTTACTTGTGTTTTCACAATTCTTGCATGATTTTGTTGTGCTTTAAAATAGACAGACTATATTTTAATATTTCAGTATGCTGTAATACAGAGTTTTGGAGTCTGTCTTTAAATTAACTGTCTGGTTACATACATGTTAAGGTCCATGCAAGCACTTTCAGTTTCTGACTCGTTTTTTTTTTAACTGGGACTCACTGGTTCTGGACCGGGACTCATGATTTTTCACAAGATGAGTCCCAGAACTCACCATAACTATTTGTAACAAAATCACTGAAGTCTGTGTTGTCCTTGGAAGTTCTTCATAATACTACGAGTGTCTTGGTATATAATATAGCAAACAAAGAAAGCACACCATGCGTATAGTGGTCATTTACAAAAGGTTAAAAACAATAGGTAACTTTGAAACCATCAGGCCAAAAGATGGCTTCAGTCACTTATGAGCAGTAGTCATTTACAAGAGGTTCAAATAATATTAAAGGGCTTTGACTTGAAAAAGTTTGGTGTTTTGGAAAAATGGTTGCTTATGGGAGGCAGTCACACATGGAGGTTCAACTGTATTTTAATGCACCTAGATTAAATCAGATGCTCATATGAACTTACCCAAAAGCCATATGACTGTACTATCAAATACTTTGACAAGTACTGAAATTAATATGACCAATTTTATTTATCTTGTAGATTACAACCCACCTTCTCCCCCTAAACCCAAGCCAGGAAAGACCAACGTTCACAGATACTTCGTATATGTATTTGAACAAGAATCTGAGCTTCAACCAAATGAGCTAGAGGAATTAAAGGAAGATTTTCAAGAGCGCTGTCGTTTTGACATTGATGACTTCAGGGAAAAATTAAACTTAAAAACCATGGCTATGAACATGCTCAAAACTCACAGTTGAGTACCGAAACCACAAAATACCAATAACAACAAATTAGTGAGCCAAATGAGTGTTATGAGAAAAAAAGTTGAACACAATGCAGTCACACCCAGTAGCATGGACACTAATAGGAAAGGCCCCATTGTCTCTTAGGCTCTATGATAAGACTAGCTGCTACAATTTTTGGGAAACGAGCTGATTCTCATCCCTTCTTTAAGAGGAAAATTGGACCTATGAGCAGCTGGTAATTAAGCCTAAGAGTTTACCTTACGGAGCTGTCCCTGTAGGCACATTCTCTAACGAGGGGTAGCAGGGATATCACTAAGAGCCAACTAGCTGCCAGCTAATTTTACCAGCTGTAAAAGACCTTACCACTGGCTCAAATTGCTCTGGAAAACAGGTAAATGGGATATAAATTATTTGAAGGTGTAGTTGAGTCAAAAAGCCAGGTTGACTAATAAAAAGTCTGCTTAGCTTTTCCTTAGCTACATCCCTGGGGTAGAGCACACAGGTACATGTAAGGAAAGATGGGAAGAAAAAACTTTCCCTCACGCCTTTGCCTGATCCCAACCACAAGGCCTGTTCACAGCCTGTAAAATTATGGACTGAGGTAAAGACAACAAGAAACTTTAGAGCCAGCTGAATTTTCCATTATAGTCAGGTGTCCATCGTGTGGAGGTGTCTTTACGAAAACATTAATATTAACTATAACAAGGAAATGGAAAAAAGACCAAAACAGGCAAAATTATGACAAAAAAAACTTAAAAACTTGTGGGCCAGTTAAAGAAACAAATAGGGTATTTGTTTAAGTCACAGGTTAAAAGAAGTAGTACATATTCTATCATTATTTATATTTGAATGTCAGTTATCATACAGGTACACATTATCGTTATCACATAAGGTCAAGTGTACACTACTACAAGTTGAACTATCTTTATAAAATAAAATAATAATATTGTTAATCAATAAAGTTGAATAAATTATTGTATTGTATGTAACTACCAGAGTAATAATTGAGCCATTACAGATAAAATTCTATTCTAATACTTTATATGTGGAAGATAAAAAAAGTTACCTTTTGTCAGCAGAATCTAATCACAAGTCTCCATTTACAATACACAGTTGTTGACTTGTTTATACCTTCTGGATATTCTAGATCTATTTTGGAATGGAGTACAAAAGTGCCTCAGCACTGAAAATTGTACACATCTAAAAAGTGCCATTATACGTAGAAGTAGATGACTAGTCCCCCTGTTTTTTAATCATTATTAAATGCATTTAAGTTTTAAAATTTATTTAAATGTTTCCTAATGTTGTCATAGCCTAAAACATGTTTTGAGGCAAATCAAGAGGAAAGCTGTTAGGCACTTTAGAGAAAAAGGAAGAGGATTTCCCTCCATCCCTGTCAAGTAGTGACAAAGCTGGCCTAAACGTGCATTGTTTATATTCAACATCATTAATATTTTTAAATTACCCTAAGTGTTGAGCAGGTGGAAATATATTCCACAGGAAGTGGTAAAATTGCCAGCTACCAACTAATTTTAACTGGGCCGTTTACGTAATGAAAATTCCAAAATTTTCTTGGGTGGAATTTACCAAGTAGAAATTCCCTCTGACAAAATTAATTACTATTTGAACTCCTAATTTGTTGGCCATGAATACATAATTAAGATCATGTGCATACCGTGGTAATCTTTATTTTCCTTACAATAGGACCATAAACTCCTGACATGTGTTATTAGATACTTCTTGTTTAGGACAAAATACAGGACTTGAGGTGATGAAACCAGAATGGGGTGGCACAATCTATTGCCATAGGGAAAAATCAATGCCGGGTCATCTTTGTCAAGGGTGAGTTGAAGGTGGACGTAAGCCAGTGGGACTCACACAACTGGAACCTTGTTTCAGTCACATTAAGCGGCTAAAAGTATTGCTACTTTCCCTTAGATGGGATGCTGGTGCATTGGATGAAGGGAGTAACACCACAACAATATGTTATTAGAATCCATTTTATTGTAAATGAATATGGCTGGCCTGTGAGACAATCCAAGGTGGAGTATGCCGTCCCTTTGACAGTCATTTCTGAGACTACCTGTCGCCTTGTAGTTGTTCAAAGATGGATATTAGTTTCCAAATACTCATATGCTTGATCAAAGTGACATTTATCCAGCAGATAGCGGTACAACGTTTGATCAACTGGGGTATGGGTGAAGAAAAGCAAGGTGGAGCAAAGACGCTTAAAACAACATAACAACGAGGCTTCAGCCAAGACTGCCAGATCCACAGTTGGATGGTTTTACCACTCAACCTCTCCCCCCCCCCCCCCCCCCCCCCCCCCCCCCCCCCCCCACACAACCCTCTACCCTCTCTCTTACCCTTTTCTTTTCTTTATTTGATAAATTAGTGGGTGCGTGGTAGAAAATACAATGAACTCAGCTAATCTTCTAAGTTTGAACAAAGTGTGTAGGGGGAAAAAAAAAGAAGGTGGGACATAGAGCCTTAAAACAAAAAAAAAAGCGGGCTTCTGCCAAGACTTCCAGAACCCGGGTGGGGTGGTTTTACCACCCAACCCTCTCCCCCCCCCCCCCCCCCCAAGCCCCCGGCAAAAACCAAGTTATTACTTTTTACTTGGGTATTCAAGCTTTTATATTTCAGTTGAAAATCGTAAGGAGAGGTGAAGACACAAAACATTACGTCACTTTACATCTTACCTATACAAATCCTGCATGCACTAACAGCTTGGCCTTGGAAGGGCTGTTATTTTTACCTCTTTGTGGCCCGGTACTCTGTATGATGGCCTATAGGGGGAGGCTCTGCCCGAAGGGGAACCTTTTTCAGGCTTTCGGTATATGAAAGGGTAGGGACCGGATTTCACTGGTTGAAGTATGTGATAGGGTATAGGGAAATCTGTCAATTAGGTCAGTCTGTAAAAGGACCCAAAAGGGCTAACAGATTACTCTTAAGGCTTTAAAAAGTCGAGAAAACGTTCTATTTTTGTGATTGATTCCTATTTAAAAGACACTGCATTTAAAGCAGTTAAAAGGGATGCAAAATACTAAACAAGGTATGTGAAAGGGGTACCATTTGTTAATAGAGGGTATACGAAAGGGGTACTTTTTTCGTGAAAAATGGTATATAAAAGGGTAAGGAGTTCAGACCTCAGGATGGAGCCTCCCCATATGAACATTAATTTTTTGAGTACCCCCTTCCCCACCTAGGCTTGTGGCTAGGCCATACCTGAAAGCACTTGTATAGTTTTGACCTTCCCTCAAGTGTATGTAAACCGTGCTGTTGTAGTTTCAGTCTTTGCCTCCTTTTTTCAGGAATTTTTAGCATTTTGTGTATGTTCCTGGTGTCAGGAAGCTTCAATACCATATTTCCTTGATTAATAGCCGTCCCTCGATTAATCACCTCCCTCGAATAATCGCCCCCCTTTGATGGAAATGGTTAAAATAATCGCCCCTCACCACCCTTCTTGCCATCTTCTCTTCCTTTTATCCCACCCAGTCAAGTTGAAGTGCAACAAGATTCAGCAAAACTGATCAGTGATGATTCAAGCTCCGAAAATTAATCAAGGAACCAAATTTGGAACACTTAAAAAGCCCAAGGTCAGTTTATTTGACCTGATTATTAAAATAAAACAACATATTTAGGGCACAACTTGAGGTGAACAAAACTTGAAACAATCGCCTCCCTCGAATAATCGCCCCCTCTTTTTACGCCCCTGGTTATTATTTGAGGAAATACAGTCACTTTTTTTCCTTGGTTTACAGGCCTTTTTTGTCAAATAGCACCCAAGGCATAAAAAATTAGGTGGCAAAACTATATTTCTCAGTTTTTCCCAAATTTCTTTGAATTTTTGCAGAATTTGCACCTTAAAAATTTAGCAAGAAATGTAACTTCCATAGTTATCACAATCCTTTGTTTCCATTGTTACTATATTTTTTACAGCAACTTTCCCTTGTTTATATTATTTTACAGAATAGAACCAAGGAGGCAAGATTGAAAATGAGGAACAGTTTTATTTCAACATTAAGTTTACTAAGAAACTGAAAGCAAATTGATCCCTCTGGAACTAGTATTATGAGTAAACAAGAAGAATATTCAATAAATGTATTAAAACAGTGTAAGTAATTGGCTCTTAGTCGCTCTTAGGTGAATGGCCTGAAGAATCTCATTGGCACTGATTTGATGGAACTTGTGAAAAGTGCTTACACGTTATAAACTTAAATTAAAAGGATTACACCCCATTATAACCCACCAATAAATTTTTGCATAATTTTTGCTGGTTATTTTGGGTCACGTGGTGGCAAATAGGAAGGCAGGTATCAGACAACATACCCCATCCACGTCATGTCTCGCCCTACAATTTTTTGGTCGCAAGAAAGTGTACATAACAAAGTCAACAAAGTTAGTGTCTTTTCAGTTTTTACCTTCTTAATTTCAAATGGACACAGGAAAACCAATCTTGTTTTAAGGATTCAGTAACAGTAACATTTTGAGGTAGTCGCAAATACTATTCCGGAAAATACAAAAAATCACCAAAATATGCTATGCTTTTATAATTTTGTCTTTAAAGGTGAGCAAAGGTAAAAATACTTGAATTCAGTTGATCTGTCCGCTATGGAAAAGAATAATACAAAGTGTTTAAAACAAGCCAAATTTGTCTAACTTTTATCACAGATAAAAGAGAGAAAAAGGTGTAACAGGCCATACAAGAAATAAATTGATGAGACCAACTATAGAGAGCAACTCATAAGTAGTTGAAAACTTAATGGTATTCCCTTACATCAGTAATACAATGTACCATTATTAACTGCTATTTTAGACTTTTTTCACACTTCCGTTTATTTTCTACTTATTGGTCATTTGTTAAGGCTGGTAGCTCACATGATAGGTCATTTGCACCATGACATCATTTTACTACTACAACCAGAATCCTTCAGGGTTTAGCTTTTTTAGGCAAAATTTAGTTAGGGCTCTGATTGGCTGAGAGGCATGTTTACATGAGAGTATGTAACCATAGTTATGACGTCACAATGTTTTGCTTTTTGTGTGCTTATCACACAAGCACAAATTTGAAAACATTTTTGACCTGAAAACTTGACAAGTTTACGTTATTTACCCATTCCCTTGTCCACTGAAACTAAAAAACAACTTACATGTAACTTTCAACTCCTCCAAGTGTGCCTAGTAGTTCTGAGTCCTAGTTCTGAGTACTCTTTAAGAAAACCTATCACAGCACCAGCAGACTAGGCTATTTTTACTGAAGATTGATGTGGGCTTTTACAAAGTTGTTTCACATCAGGGAGGGTAGAGGTTAAAAGGTTCTCTGTCCCTCTGTCCAAGTTCAAATATCACTCAATGTTGTTTGTGTAATTTAAAAGTGTAATGGTAATCATATAAAAATTATACATTGTTCATTTTATATTCCATTCTTCCCTCCAAAGTCAGTTCTGCAAAACTGAACAAATTAGTACAATTTCATAGTCAACAAAAACCAAAAGAAATTACTTTGTCAAGCAACATTTTTCTTGATGATGCTATCATAATGCTTAAAGTCCACAATAATACATGCAGCATTAAAAAGCATTTACCAGACACAGACACACTTACAGCCCCAACTAACCTTAACTTAACAAAGAACCTATCCACTTGACCTGTGCTACACTGTCCAGTCTGTCAATTCTTACAAATCTTTTAAAAGTTAGGTTACCATATTTATTCCACTATAAGCCGAGCGATTTTCATACCCAAATTAAAGCTAAAGTTCAGTGCAACTTGAGGCCAAGAGGGGGTCTCAGCTTATAGCCAAGAGTTTTTGACAAAACATCTTTTTCCGTGCATTAAAACTCTACTAAAGAGGGATGTATTCACTTATAAGCCAAGCAAATAGCACTGGAAAAAGATTGAATTGATTGCATAACTACAAATCTGAATGTTAAATTAGCTAAGCACGGAAATTCAGTCCCAAATAAGTCAAAATATCTGGCAAAAACAGGTCTCACAATTAAAATCTCACATTGGTAAGCCTTTTACAATGAGGGAAGGTGTAAAACAAATGAAACATGTCAAGGAATTTGTGAGCAATCTGCCACGTTTGGTCAAACTTGTGCTTGAAAGCATTTGCCTGGTTACTAAGCACAGGCAAATGCAACGCAAACTGATGTGGTTTGTTTTATATATGATCATTTCAAGCATAATGCGATAAAGACATGAGGAAAGATTGATAGCAGTGAAAAACCCAAACAACAATAGGCCACTTTCGAGTTCCAAAAACCCTCACTTTCAAAATGAGGCAAAGTGCACAACCTTTCTTGTGAAAATGAGTTTTATTTGCATGAGAATGAAAATCATTTCCATATGAAAGGCTGAGAACTTAACCTCGTTTTCATATAGAGGCCCAGGGGAACTCGGAAATGGCCTATTGTACGTTTTCCTAGAGAAGGTCAACACATTTTTTTTCACAATTGTTAGGTTTTACAGTAGCTAAGAGTCTTGTAACAGTGGGTCTCGCCTTATAGCCGGGTGCTTTGGATTTACCTTTCATTCTTGGTTATGCTGATTCTACGACTTTAAAGTTTAGAGTCTCAGCTTACAGCCAAATAAATAAGGTAATTCATTTGTTTAATGAACAGGGATTCAACTGACTTGCATTTGACCACCCTCAAGATTTCCTTCCAGAGCAAATGGCTTTTGCTTGTAAGCCGGCCAACGGCAAACAGGACAGCAGAACCGACCAGCACTATTTCCTCCACACAGCCATGCTTCAATACACTGCTGATGGTAACAATGACCACAGGGTAAACCAAGCAACAGACAACCACTCCTAAAATCCTCCAGACATATGGCACAATCATGATCTACAAACATCCCAACCGGTTGAGATGATTTTTGACAACATCTGTGCTTTCTGCATTGCTTTTTACAATGCCCACGCTTGCTATCACAACTCTGGGAACAACAGAATTTCCACACTGGTAAGTTATTAATGAAATCAGTGGGGATTATTGGACGTAGCCATAGTTCAGGCACTGCAAGCCGTCGTATAAGTAGTTCAAAACCATCTTCAAGGCCAGAGGTGCTGTACTCAACTTGAGGTTGTCTTAAGGACGGGAAACTCTGGACAACATTCGTCAAGTAATGTAGGTCTTGTGCAAACCATTCTCTTATGGACATGGTATTGTTATTTTCATCCTCAAGGCCAAAGTGGTGCTTGAACTTGATCCGAATCCAGCGTATTATTGAGCAATAAACAATGTAACCTCCAAATATGAGTTTTTTGTGCTGCAAACCAAACATTGTGTACAGCCTCATTACTGCAGCAGCATCTGATGTCATTACGTATCTGCAATACTTTAAGACGAATTCAAGGACTGGACTAAGCCAAGGAAATTGGAACAGGGTAACCACTGGCAAACAAAGCATTATCAGACTTGTATTATAGAACGTCAGTAACCACATAAAGTGTATGATTCTTTTCAGTATACCACCGTTCATTAGGAACAATTCAATAAAGCAGCTCACGTTTACAATAATAAGAACTGTCACGAACACATCATTGACCTCTGGGTGAATCGTTTTCAAAAATAGTTGTAGACGACGATATTCTATCCATTCTCCTTTTCTATGTCCGTATGTCAAATTAACCTCTGGCGTGAATACCATAAGGCTCGGAAAATTATCGCCATTGTAGTTTTTTAAGATGCCTTTTTGTGCTTTCCAATCGGAAATTCGAACGTGTCCAAAACGAACCCTTCCAGTGAATTGAACGGACAGCGAACCAAGATACATAGGAGGTTCAGATAACGTGGAAAACAACACAACATAGGCAGGTTCTTGTTTCATGTTCGCTTCAAATGTGTCCACAAATTCCTCCACACTATTCAGAATAACTACCTTGGATGAAAGCTCTCTGTTGATCCACTGAAAAATATGATCCACCGAAGGTTTGGAGTCATATGTTTTTAAAATGACGTTACCTTTGGGCTGGTTGCTTTGGGGCATTGAAATAACTAAGGATGGCTTATCCCAGCCATATTTTACACACAGTCTTGGATCATTTTCACATAAGAACGTTCCCATTCGAATGCCAAATCGAGCAATCTTTCTTTTGAGCAAAAACCATTGCTTGCTCCGAAGCAGCGAAGATTGGCCCTTGGGAATGACATCAACCAACCATGTCCCTGCTTTGGTGTCTTCTACTTCTTCAAAGAAGTGAGATGCACCGGTGAATTTTAAATCATCACTTTCCTGGTCATCTGCAGATCTTTCAGCGACGACAGAGCAGCTTTCAGCTTCGGTTACTGCTCCACACGCTTCTACAAGCTCGACAAGTTCCTTCTTCTCCACCAACCCGGAGTAACTCACGCCCCGCTGCTCCAAGATCGACTTTAATTTTCTCACGCTCAGCGCAAACGGATTCAAAAGCTGGCTGGCCAAACATCCTGCCTTGAGCCACGTGGATGAAATCTCAAATATTCGAGCAACAAGAAAGAGTAGAAAAAAGTAACTCAAAAGCAGTACAAACAATCTTGCCAACATGGCGACCTCGAAACATCACAATGACATACATGTCTCGAATCAGGTGTTGGCGCGTCAGTTTGGCGGCAAATTTGCAGCTCATTCTTGACTCTGATTGGCTGTTTCGAAAACGAGTCGCAGTGCTGCCTCGGCCAAATCTTGGCCCTCCATCTTTGTTTTCAAAGTTCTTGTTCATATTCAATGTTTGAAGTATTTTCGCCATAACGCCCGCATAATTGCACAACATGGAACTGCAAATTGAAAAGGTTGGCTTTTTAACATATTCTCCTTTTTCTACCTTAAACTTCTTTTAAAGAACAAAACATGAGCTTAAAAAAAAGGTGCCAGTTTTGTGAATGAGCTAGGCGGTCTTTCATTACCCTCCAGTGCCGTACCTCGACAACACCCCTATTAAGGCTCAATGATGAAAATTTATTTGATATCTTTTTGTAATGTATACAGTTACCTCTAGCCTTTTTTTAAATATGAAACTACAACTACAAGTTTTCTTTATTTGATATATTCTTAATTTGTTCAATCAAGTGGTGATCCGGGGGGGTATTCCGGGGGAATTCTTAGTGCGCGTGTGCCACCCGGTTTTTCAAATCCTGATCCTATTTCAGACCAAAAAAATGTCATTTTTCACAACCATTTTCAGACCTAGCCTCTAAGAACTTATGACATCATTACTTAGATTAGAATGCCAACAAAAGGACTTCTTCAAAACCAAGTTCGATTTGCATTTTACTGTTTTTTTCTTATTCAAATGGTACTGAAACGACAATTACGTTCATACTCTCCCATAGCAACCTTGAACACCATAAACTATTCTAGGCCAAAATGGGCCCAACTCTTTTCAGACCAAAATGGTGCAAAAAATCATACCCTTTGGGATGGCACATACCTATATGGCTTATATAAGGGAGTACCCCCCCCCCCCCCCCCTCTTTTTTTTTTTTTTTATTTTTTTTTTAATTCTGGACGAAAAAAAAAATTATACCCCCCCGGCTCTTAAAAAAAAAAAAGCAAGAATAAGAGAACAATGTAGACAACTTTGAGGGTTTTGTGTTTTTTTTTTTTTTTTGTACCATACACTGCCACCACTTTTATACACAACAAATGAGGAAAAAACCATTGCCTGTGGGGGTGCCCCCTCCTTGATGGGTTTTTAAAGGGGGTTCCCCCCCCCCCCCCCAGTGCTATTCTTCTTTCATATATGTCTTTAAACTCGTAGGAGAGAAACAAATCTCAAGGCCCAGCTGTTCAAAGAACTACAAGGCTAAATTGAGTGCAACTTAGGTCAATATTCAGGGTTTGGAAATTGTTCTCTTTTAGTGTACACAGGAGTGGTACCTATATGGCTTATATAAGGGAGTACCCCCCCCCCCCTCGTGCTATTCTTCTTTCATATATGTCTTTAAACTCTTATGAGAGAAACAAATCTCAAGGCTCGGCTATTTAAAAAACTACAAGGCTAAATTGAGTGCAGATTAAGTTAATATTCAGGGTTTGGAAATTGTTCACTTTTAGTTTACACAGGGGTGGTAACTATATGGCTTTTATAAGGGGGTTCCCCCCCCCCCCCTAGTGCTATTCTTCTTTCATATATGTCTTTAAACTCATAGGAGAGAAACAAATCTCAAGGCTCGGCTATTCAAAGAACTACAAGGCTAAATTGAGTGCAACTTAGGTCAATATTCAGGGTTTGGAAATTGTTCTCTTTTAGTGTACACAGGAGTGGGAAGTTAACAGCCACATTTAGGATAAAAAGAGAAGATCTACTTATCAAGTATCAGCCACCCCAAACTATTTCATATCGTTGTCCATTATTATGCTCAAGACCCTCTGGCTGGAAGAACTTTAGCAAACAAGTTGTACTTTTTCTGGTCTTGAGTCTCATGACAGGCACATGATGTATTATGCGTCCGGATGAACTATCCTTCGTAATGCATCTTGAACAACGCACTAGGAAAGGAAGTCATCTGGATGCATAATGCATTAATTTTGTGAGTGTTAAGATGGGCAACAGGTATAGAACTTAAACAATGAGACCATGTTATAAAAAAGCCAGCAGTTATGAGCAAAAGAAAACAATGTGGAGGAAAAACACCCTAGTGTACAGTGGTAATATCTTGCATTGTTTCTCATAGTTTCTATTGATTTTCATCCTCCACTTGATGTGTAGGAAAGCATTATCATTCAAGGAATCCAGAAAGAAGGAAAAGACCTCTTGCACTAGGGTGGCAACAAGACTACACAACGAGAATCATATTGCTTTCTTGGCCTTTGTCTGGATAAAGTGAGTCACCTAATGTTGTTCAGTTTCTATGTTATAATGAGGACAGACAACAGTAATTGTGTTTCAAATTCTTCAAGTTTATTTTTTATAATCTTTAGTGACCAGCACTGAGTTTATATTGTCAATGACCAGCTTGACTTTAACTTTGTTTATAATATTCTTTGACATTTGAGAAAAAAATCATTCTCCTTGATAAACAGGTGTAAACTCTATAAATGTTTCTATGTTATGGGTTTTACCCAAATATGAATACATGCCAATAAAAAAAGCTATGAATTTTTGTAAACTGATTTCTACTTATGAAAAAAAATATCTATCATAGTAAATATTTATACCCTTTGTATCAAGGAGAATAATTTTATGAAACATGCCTTTACACAAAATATGACTAATTGAATACAGAGATCCACTGTATTTTTATCAATGTATGAAAAATAGGTCCCTTTGAGTACCAATATAGCACTCTAAGTGCCTTGAAACGTCTGCACATAAAAATATGTACATTAGGACCAGCCTAATTCTTATTATTCTAAACTTAAATACAACTAGATTTACATGCGACATGTTTTAACATATACTGCCTTTCAAAACATTGAATGTCATTATTCATTTTGTCCAAACAGAAAGCTGTTTTTGGTAAAAATATGTTGGAATTAACAAATACAGAGACCAGCTGTATTCCAACAATAATACTTCTATATATTAAAAATATGTCCGTGTAAGGCAAAGAGTACTTGCAGTACCTGGAAAAAAATCTGGTTGTGAAAATATTTACATGGGACCAGCCCAGTTCTATAGTTCACCTTAAATATAAGCAAGAGTTCAACATAATAGTGTCTGTCAAACTTAACAGTGCCTGCACTGTTTGTAGAAAACACTTTAAAAAGAGTTCACTGAGGTCACAGGGACCTGAATTGGTGACGGTGTTGATTGAGGAGACCGACTGTGAATTGGTGAAACAGTTCCATTGGACTGAGAAGCCATGGCTTTTCTAGCCTCCTCCTCCTTTTTGGCTTGCTCCCGTAAATGGATCTTCATGTGACGCCGTCGTTCATCAGACCTTGCAAACCGTCTTCCACAAGTGTCACAGGCAAATGGCTTTTCACCAGTGTGTGTGCGAATATGAGTTGTTAAGTGGTCTGAGCGGGAAAAATTCCTCATGCAGATACGACACTGGAATGGCTTTTGCCCAGTGTGGGTTCGCATGTGGCGTGTCAGTTCATCTGACCTTGAGAACCTCCTTGGACAAGTTTCAACTGGACATGCATAAGGGCGCTCACTGGGTGGCGTTCGTGACCGTCCATCTGTTGGGTTGTTGCGCTTTGCCTTTAGTAAACTAGCACCAGCTTTTGAAGGGCGACCGGGCCTCTGAGCAGGCTTGCAGGGTGTGGTCAAGAAGTCAGATGGAGTTGTGGTATGAAGAAGTAGCTTGTCCATCATTGCTGCAGTGTGGTCAGTGGCTAAGGCATTGGGAAAAGGAGAAGGTGCACCAAGAATAGGCCATTTCATGTTCAGTGTGGCTGTAGCTTGCATAAACATTGGTGATGAAGAGCTTACTTGCTGCTGCATGGGTCGCTGATACAGGTTACCCTGTGTTGGTAGTTTAGGAAGCCCAGTGAGGTTGTTACTCGTTGTCACTGGGACCTGTTCTTGTTGAAGATCGTGTGGAGTGGGAGTATGTACTTTGTTTGGCCCAGAACTGGATTCGTGCGACATGGGAAGTTTAACGTCTTGGAAGAATGAGCTCCAAGGAGTTGTACCAGCCTGGCTTATTAAGGGAGTCAGGACTGTACGATCAGGAATCCAAAGATTGTGTGCAGGTGAACTGTAAGGAGACCCTTGCGCGCTCGGTGGAGGAGTTGATCCTGTGGGTCCCGAAATCACATCATGTAGACTTGGGACTTTAAAGTGAGCCAAACGCTGCTGGCAGGCTTTCGTGGAGTTGTTAGCTCCTTCCTGCTTTACGTCAGGTACAGTGTAGTCCAGGTCAAGATCTCCTGAGAAAACAAGAAGGAAGAAATCAGTGTTAGTGAATTATGCAATCAAAACGAAAAAAAATTAAAATATTGAACGGGATCAACAATTCGTTGTAGCGGAAAGGAAAGCACGGCAAAGAAAACGTTAAAATTAAGAATTGACTGACTTTGAGAGGATTATGATTAACCTCCGAGTTAAAAAACTTACGTCAAAGCTAGATGCCGAAAGGGTAATAAAGAGAAATTGAAACGAAAATTTTCGAAGTCAAATAATGCGTTATCGAGATTGTGTAAATTGATTCGAATAAAATTAACCTGATCGAATGATGTATAAATCTTTTTCACGTTTTGCCCACGATCTAACACAGTTTGTTTTGAACCCAGCGATAGCGTAGGTGGATACGTTTCCGATGAAAACAAACTGCATCGATCGAACGCTATCCGACGAGGTTCGTTAGCTACTAAGTACCTGGAACAGTAGTGTCGTGGAAATCAACCGGCTCACCAAAAATGTTCGTCGGTTCGTCCTGAACAAACGAAAACTCCTCGGCGCTCAACTGAGGGACTTGGCGAGCTAACTGGGGTGTCAGAAGACTAGCAGTGTCGAAACCAAAAAGCTGGTCCGTAGCAACTTGGGCAAGGCTATCCAATGCTTCTGTCATGGTAATCATCATCTTAAATTATGAACTTTAGGAACGAACGGTGAAATAATTTTTCTTGAGGTTGTTGTTTGTGTCGTTAAACTGATCAACAGTATAGGTCTTGGTCGAGTTATTGGCCAGCAATAACTGCGACTCGGCTTAGAGTTCGGTGGTCGTTGTTTTCCCGTCGGGAGTTACTCCTTCGCTTCGTAGAGCTTTGACGATTCTGTGTGCGAACCGAGTGGGCGACTCCTTAAATCTAACATTCATTGTTCTCGGAGCTATTTTGCACGTCACCAGAACTTTCGAACAATCCGTGGGAGCCAATCAACTCTGTGCTAATTTTAGGTAGTGTGCGTCAACGTTGACGCAGATAGGTATTGCGTAAATGGGTATTGTTTATCAATAACCGGTATCGTCAAAGTGGTTTTGATCGAATGTGATGTTTCGCACATCTTATTTCGTTTGGCGATCGAAAAGCTTGACTCTTTTCTTTGATAACTGTTTCAACGAAACGAAATAAGCGAAATTTGGGGCTAAAAAGTCAAAAAATAAAGAGAGTTTGATTTTGTGGCGTTACGGAAACGTGATATATAATTTACATACGCGTCATTCGTTGTCAACCTGGTAATATTGTACAATTGTTCAATTATTGTTTATTTTATGACGTCCATTCATGCTGGGGTTACAGCGAGTCGACCGTGACAAATTGTCAACAATCTAACATCTTCATGCAAATTCCAAGAGGTTAGAGGTTGTTCTGCCCTGCTTACACTAGATTGCACAACTTTTCCACGATTTTTTACCCTGCCTTGAGAGTGGTGTTCCGAAAACGTGACTGATAATTTTTTTCCTAAGAAGGTTTTCGTTTAAAAATTTATGATTTCATAATCAAAGCAGAGCATAAAATAAACCACTTAGATGGGAAGATTTTCTTTTCAATTAAACATAGAACAGCCTGCCTTCAGTAGGTGAAAAAAGAAATTATAAACGGTACTTAAATTTGGTATCGTTGAAGGAATATTCGTAGCAAATTGGAAACAACCTCCATCTAACAAAAAAACATTTCGAACTATTATAAACCATGGTCGTTACTTATGGTTGCTTTTTGTTATTCAGGATGCTCAAACAGTTCGTCACTTTCTTTCTTTCTTTTTTCTTAACTTTGTTCTGTTTCGTTATTTTCTCTGCTTTTTTCTAAAATCTAAATTGGGAAGTCTCCAAAATATTTCGTGTTAAAAATAAACCGGGAGCTAAAAAGGGACACCAATTAGCGAAATCGTGGGTGTCCATGACAAAAAGAGAGGGATTTGCCTATGGCTGAATGATAGCGACAGGTGCAAAAGATTTTCTTGGCTTGCCTTGATAAAAATAGACTTGCTTGACGTCAAAATGCCTGGTGAGAATTGCCGTCTCGGAGTAACAGGTGAAAAAAGCGGATACGATTAACTTTATACTCATTGCTTATTCATAAGGGTTTTGCAAGTTAAAAAACCAACTCAGAGAAAAATGATACTTGACTTAAAAATGCGACTTTAATGTTGTTCTTTGCTGGTTTGTGACTTTAACATACGGATATTTTCAAATTGCAAAAGAAAATTACGTTTTACAATTTAGGACAGATGAATTTTCATAGTGTCATCATGATGATTTCTTTTTCAATAGAAAAATATTGTATTTGCATTGCAAATAGCCTGCTGCAAGGATTGATATTGACGGTGTTTTGAATTCATCTCAGGTGATGTCAATTTTGGAGATTTGCCGTACTTAGTGAACGATGGCTTAAATGGGGGCAGTCAGCCATAAAACATTGTTTTAGCCAAAAATGAAGTCGTACATTTTCCCGTTACAATTCTCCATCAGAAAATCGTACGGAATATTCCTTTATTAAATCTGTTGCTCAAAAATCGCACCATGAAATGTAAATAAACTGAGCTAAAATAAATTTCGTAAACGTTGATTTAACTGTCCGTTCTGATCAAGGCTATTTTATTACAACACGTTACTCAAGATGAGCATAAGCTTCTTTTAAGGTCTACGCGCAAAAGAAGAAAGAGAGTTTAATCGTTTATCGGCGTACCAAGAAAAATAATATTCATTTTTCTAATGATGTAGTCAAATTCTCTCTGTTTTGAACTACACGTACATTATAAGCGCACTTGCATTAGGTTTTTCAGGTTATGTCCTTGCACAAAAGAAACGGAGAAAACACTCAAAACCGAAAGTAGTTACTTAGCCGGTCTGTTCTTATGGAAAAACTCCATGTTTCACGAGGCAAATATAGCTAATAGTTACCACTAACTATTGACTGCTAAAGATTAAATGTACCTGTATTTTTCGCTTATAAGGCGCAGCATTTTTTCAACGAAAGTTCGCTTGATAGCTCTAAATCTGTTTTGCTGTCCAATAGCCGAGTGCGCCTTATAACCGAAAAAATACGTTAAACGTTTTTCTCTCCCTGAATTAATAATAAAGGGAGCTCCCTAGTTAACATTTAGGATCAAGGGATGACCCTTTCAGTAGTTTCAGGGATACCGTAGCCGGCCCTCGTTAGTCACATTGAAGCGCAAATCTTTGGGCTGAATGATCACATTATACTAAAGAAAGATGAAGAGTAAATTTCTTGGCTGTTAGAAGCTGTTTTGGGATAAATTATGTTCTTTGTTTGACAGTCAAAACAGTATATCGCTGAAATTTCATAACCTTGGTCTAAAGCCGTGTCATTTTTAATCGAGCTGCAGAGACCACAGACACACAAAAAGGCATCTTGCACTCTCGCAATTGTTCTTGGCTTCACTGTGGTACTTATTTCAAAGTTTTAACTCGTGACAGGGCGTGTGGCAAAATGGCCAATCATCATTGTTTCAAGGTGATGTTCACTGCTTTCTTGCAAAACCCCCAGAATCCTTTTCAGGTAGGAGACCAGCCTCTCGACTGTTCATATCATTTAAGGAAGGATTTCTGACGGTTTATCATATAAGACAATTTTTATTATGGTCGATCCAGTTGTTGTTTGAGAAGCTGCTACTTCTGAGCTACAGTGAGTTAGGGTTAACAATCTATCAGAGGAAAAAAGGACAGAGAACTCTTTACACTCAGCATGAGCAGGTTGCTCGCGTTTTGTGTTCGCGTATTCCTATGTTTCCCGAAAGAATTTCACCGTTAACGCACATATTCTCCACACAGTTCATCTTACAACAGGTTACATACATTACTTTTTGCAGTAATCCAGGAGTCAGGAGGAGAATTAGTATTTCAAAAGCATGGGATTTTCTGTTTGCCAATCAATAATTAAACATTTTCTCAGGACCTTTTTCCGTGGTTACCAGTGAATTATTTTGTTGGTTGATTGGTTGGCCTTTTTCATATTCTGTTGAAAAAAAAACCGTTTTTGGTCAGATCAGTGCTGCTATTGGACCTGATGGGTACGCTTTTGTAAGAATTTGTTGGTGTTTATGAGTTAAAAAAGGGCCCCCTCCGAAAAAAATTGAGAACTAACTGCCGTCATCTATTAGGCTAGTCTCTCGGTGTGTGCAGACATGTGTTACAAGTAAAAACATACGAAAAAGAAAAAACTTAGGACCCTGTAATGATGAAATTCCACGTTCTAAATCTGTAAATTCCATTTGTATTACAAATCAAACAAACTGATTCAATCTTCAAGTGTGTCAAAATACTGGTGATAAACGAATTCCGAGTATACACGTACGCTGGCAACAACGCATAAAAAACCTCTCAAGCGTGTTTGGAATGTTCGTGAAACTGCCAGAGCTAACCTTAGATGGCCTTGGATACGTGAAAGTAACACAAATGCTCGCGACGTGACTATGACGCGACGCTGTCGAATTTGCACGTTTCACTGCGCACAAGGGTCCTTTCAGCCGACGTTTTTGTCTGGAGTGGTGGAGGAAGACACACCTTACCTTTTATGTCATGTCGATTTTGAAAGTCACGCACAGGCACTTAGGTGTCAAGTGCGTATTATTATTGATTCGACAGCGTAAACTACGAAACGACTGAGATTTGCTATTCGTGTGGACTTTTTCAACAAAAGGTCACAGATCTGCTAAGGAGTTCAAAGTCTTATAGTTCAGGAATGGCTTTAGACTTCGACTCTGTTTGGTGTTTACAGGACGTTTTGAAGTGCTTATTTTATGTAATGACAAGCTGATGCGTTTATGACGTGATGATGATTTCGTAATAAGTCAGGCAATGAGATTTGTTCGCTTGCTCAATATTTACTCAATAATATTGCGAAAGCCCGGGAACTTGCTAAGGTGTACGTTGAGGTAGGGCAAATTTTTTACTTGATGAAGTTTGCATGAATCAATATTGATCAACAGTTGAGCAATTTTGCACGTCGAGTACAAAAATATGTAATGTAGTGCCTTTGTTCATGTTATCTCGCCAAAAGGTAGCCACAAACTCTCTAGGAAAATAGCATACGTGTTATATGATGAGTTAGATTTCATACAGTATTTACATTGTTGAACTGATATGCAAATTGAGTTGATTTGCTTCAGCCCTGGTGTTGTATAATTGAGTCAAGAAGCGTTACACAATCAGAGGATTGTGCCCTGTGAGTGTCTATGACTTTTGTACAATAAAACTGACCCTTTTTTCTTTCTTCTTTGACAAGGCCTTTGCATCATTGTCCAGCGTGGACTTGAAGGTTCGGGTTATTAGTGTACATATGGTAAATTGACAACCGATGAGATGTCCATAAACCGTGCTAGCTCCCTGCTAGTAAGCAGTAGCCCGCTTCCTTAAGCGAATCATTTAAGGAGTTGTGGTTTGTGATTGTTAAATCAAAATCACAATGTGCTTTCGCCTGGGAAAACCAGTAGTTCCGGCAATTAAAGCTAGATTAACGCACATCATCGTTTCCCCTTTTTACTTTGATCTACCATCTGACATCTCATCTCATCTACCATCCGACCGAAGCGCGGTAGATAGGTTACTGTTGTTTTTCGCCATAAGCCAATGTGTCCCCTTAATTTTTCAGCGCTTTATCTGTTACGATCAAGTTAGATATACTTGTTTTAAAAGGTCTCAGATTTTTGAGTTTATGAACAAACCTCATCTATGGGACACAAATTAAAGAAAGCCAATGACCACTTCTCAGCTAGGACGTTGGTAGTGTCTTTTTTGTTGTTGTTGTTGCTTGTTTGTTTTTCAGTTACAGTCAAACCCCGTCGCACACCGAGGGGGCTATAGAAAGCATTCCGTATTGATGGGGTGTGCGTATTAAGCTGATTGAATTGAGAGGAATTGTAAGGGTTTTCTTTCCCCAGGAACAAAGCAACCTGTCCGTAATGATGAGGTGTCCGTATTAAGCGGGTGTCCGTGAAACGGGGTTCGACTGTATTATTATTTTCTTTCATTGCTATAATTTTTCTATGTTTTGAGCTGAGATCCTCCAAAGCAGTCCGACTTGTTTTTAATTACTTAGAATTCATTGCTTGTTCCTAACTAAATAGTCATCATATATTGATTCTTCGTTTCGTTGCCAAGTTTCCCGTTGAAACTTAGCAACGTCTTTAACAAACTTAACTATTCTGGTAAACAAAAGGAAAGTATTTATTTCCTCGTCTTGATCCATTCTTGCCCCCAGGCAAAAGAAGGTTACGAATTTACATCTGCTTTCAAGATAATTGAACAACTCATTTTACGCTGAAAAAGAACTCATTTAACTATCCTGGGTTCATTAAAACGGTGGCGTATATCCATCTGTATATTGGTCTGTATGGGCGTTTGAACACGTCGCGTGACATAGCGCATAACCGTGGGTGTGTTTTTGATTTTGTTTTTTTGTTTTTGGTGACACGATTCCATTAAGAACAGGAAGAGACACTATGTCGATAAGACATTAACAGCAAAAGAAAACGATTCTTTACTCCGTTATCAGCAAGTGACAAATATGAAAATGTGCAAATTGCGAATTGAAGAAAATTTTGCTGTCTTTTGGTGCTCAACAACTAGTGTACAGCCTATTCTACAGACTATAGCTTCTTGCGCATTACTCTTACTTCCTCCCTGTTTCTCAGGATTGATTGAAAATTACCCTTTGCACAGACGTTTTTGAGGCTTCTACCTGTCAAAGAATGTCATTCATTAAAGCCTACACGCGCGTGTTAATCAGTTGAATTTTAAAGGGTAACGTATTTTCGCAGGGCACAGGCGCTAACAATATCTGGGAATTTGTACAGCTTGAATGTAGTTGAAACCAGAGTTCAGTTCACGTGGAATGAGCGTTAAACTTTAGCCTTTCATAGGCACTTGTCATGTCTGAAAACAGAGGGTTGACTGGCATGTTGGCAAGTTATGCTTCATTTAAACATCAGTTGAAATATTGTTTCACACGTGTCCCACTTTGTGACAAGTACTACATGTATTTATGAAGTCCAAGTTGCTGGCGGCCTTCTTACGAAGCGGTTCAGTATGAACACTCGTTTATAACTTATAAATGAACTTTGGGTGAGCTAACCGGGATGGAAAAGAAATAAGCTATATAACTAGAGCACATCATTTAGAGAATCCTTTCTACATCACTTCTTTGAGCTTTAGCATTAAAATGCGTACTCTTAATACTTTTCTTTATAGATTTCTAATGGCACAAATGAGGAGAATCCACCTAGAAATCAGGGGCACCCAACGAGAATATAGCTCAAAACCACTTAAAAATAGCATTGTTGAACGTACTTTAGTATTTAAACGGTAGATATAGGTATATTTTTATCCCCTAAAAATTTTTCATCGGTTCCTATTTCCTAGCTGAAAGTCTAGTGATCCGAAAATTATGGGGATTAAAACTTACCTTTTCGAACCTTTCAGCCAGAAAAGAGGCTACCGAAAATTCTAGGTGACCTTTGTGGGATAAAAATCCGTTAAAAATGGGCAATTATACCATTTTTTAGATAATCGAAAATCCCAGGAGAGGCAGGCAAGCAAGAAATTTTACAACAAATGTTCAGAAAATTCTAGATCTCAAATCGTCTTCCGAACAGATATTTTCCGAAAATAGACGTTGGATGCCCCTGAGATTCATTCGAGAGAGAATTTAGTATTAGTCATTGAATAGAGAAACAATAGCTCGTCCGCCACTGCTAAGACTAATTTTAAGGCCTTAACTCAAGCCAAGAGCTCTCTTGCTCAAGCTTAATCCGGCTGATCTTCACACTCATCAAACACCAATGGCTGCCTATAAAATTTTGCTCGCTTGTTAGTCATGATATTGATCGTTTGCGCTCATGCGTGCGTGCAGCACACAGTACTGCAACTGTCCTTTACTCCCCAGAGTGCCTAGCTGTTTATTCGGAAAACAACTAATCCCGAATTTTTAATCATAATCTACCGAAATACTAATACCTTACCAAAGTATTGTCCAAGAGGTTCATTTGAAAGGCCTTAGCTAAGGATTTCGTCCGAGCAGACTCAAAGCTGACCGTTTTCATTCCCAGACTCAACTAAGGAGAGCTATAAAGAATCCATGCAACAATCCTGCATTGAAGGCTGACAAGACACAGTTGGTTGAGGAGTGAATTCAGCAGTGTGCTTCCATGTGGGGACAAATTGGGCTTCCAATTTTTCTATGTTATGTCGATCAATCTGTACATTAAGTCTGATGTTGGCAGGAGCGTGGATCGCACTAGTCCATTCGGTCATTGTTGAGTCTACAATATCGGATGAATCAGAGCTAAACTACATGGTAATCAGTTTGTTCTGAAACTGAGAGAAACGCATGAAGTGACCTTGAGATTGCTGTTGGCCACACCTTTAATGCTGTAAAATCTCACAGTCGCGCTAAATATGATCGTGCGTCATTTGAACGGTTTGACCACTGACCCGTATAAGCGGATTCTTGAGCTTCTACTATGAAATCCTAGAATAATACTTATTTGTCAGGTATGAGCCGTTTAACTTCATTCTTATAATTTTCTAGTTTCACACAATGAAAAGCAATCAGTCTAGCCATATTAGTTTAGTTTGTCATTATGATTGGGTATCTTTTTTCTGCCACTTCCAGT